GTTATATTTGAATAACTGAATGCAGTAACACAAACAGAAAGTGGCATAACATGATAGAATCTTTTACAATATAATTAATCAGTTATAGATAATATAACCCAGTTATACAACGTCATCTTTGAGAGAGTTCATGGGGTGAGTGGGATGAGATGCACATGGAGCAAAGGAAGTAACACAGTATCTACACTGTCCCTGAGTAACGAAGTAACTCCACCGCGCAGTGGGAGCTGGGAGTGAGTTGAGCTACTGTGCATATCCTGCGGTACAGATTAATGTGACGCCGGTGGCGCGCATTGAGGCGTCCGGGTGTGGTGGCTTATGACTCACTAGAGGACTGGATGGGGAAAATATCGCGTATTCTTCTTCAGTAATATCCCCATGTCCACTCAGCAAATCTAAGCTGTTGCTCCATTAGTCGCTATGATCATCACCTCACCAGGGCACCGCTCACACAAATCAAGACGAACACACGAACAACACACACACACCACACTACACCAACACAACACACTCCACACACGCACAGGCAACCCACATCACATAATATATGAAGTTATTATCGATATATTATAATATTATCGTTATAATGAGGCGGATATGGCTTACGGTTGAGATAATAAAATATTATTGCACTCACTTAGTATCCCACTGTATATTATATACCCTGGACTGCAGGTGCTTAGGCGAGTATCGGTGCTCCGTTCACTTTACCGGAGATCGTGAAATATAATAAGATATATATATTATATATACCCTAGTATACGAGGTGACTTAATAACTATATTGCGCAGTGGTATGCACGTGAGGGAGTAATGGATATTATATAATGATCGTCGGGGGCATCTGATACTTTAGGGGATTCATATATTCGCTAGGGGTACCTAAATACTCATCACAATTCACTCAAGTATAAGGTAAGCTAATCATCCACTACTGTATAAATTATCTAACATCGTCTCCTTATTCCGGGACCTATCCCCTTCCGAACGGGACGTTTACACCACTATAATCCCTCAGGACATATAACTAACACTACGAATGCATATAAGTGCTTGGATTTATAGTTGATATTATATGTAGGGTTATGTGTGACTAGGTTGTATGTTTTAGTGTTAGTTGTAGTAGTCTCATGTTACATGTGGATTGTATGTGCATCTGATTATTAGTTGTTCGTGTCTCAGTATATGTATGTGTGTTTGTTGGTTGTGTGTGTGTGTTCGTGTGTTTTATAGGTTAGTGTGGTTGTATTGATTAGTGTGATAGATAAGTGTTAGGAGTGTATAAAGGGGGAAGGGTATTAAGTTAGGTATAAGAAGATAGTAGATAGGATATAGTAAGGAAGCATAGGGTAGTACGAAGAGAATAGAGGTACGAGTATAAGAGAAGTAGAGAAGACTGAGGGAGAGGGACTGATTTATCGTAGTAATAATAGGAGGGATATGTGTCAGTTAGATTTAATTATACTATATATATGGGTTATAGTATGGTATATAATAGTAACTAATAGGTACGCTATCGTTGTTCATGAATTGCTGCGGTAGGTAATGTGGCGGTGGTATTGTGGATGATGAATTAGTATACATATGATACGGGGGACTGATATAATTGTTAGTTAATCTACGCAGAGGAGAGGAGAGGGGAGAGAAAGGAGAGAGAGAAGAGAGAGAGAGAGGAGGGAGGGTAGAGGCGCGAGAGTGGAACGAGAGGGGAGGGAGCGAGAAGAGGAAAAGAATGAGGTGGAGTTTGCGTGTGTGTGTGACTGCGGTGTTCGACCCTCCTGTCGTTCTACCCGCGTTGGGTCGGGTAGCAGCAAAGTAGATTAAATGGCTGAAGTTTCATGTCATATTCCTTCAAGTAGATATTATTAGCGGGCGCATTTTATAAAAGTTTGGGAAACAGCGGTCACAGAGGGAGAGTAATAACCGTCTAAATTGTGTATCGGTGATGATTCTAACTATGGTGGCACTCAATGTTAAACTGGGAAAGTAGCACGTGTTGCGCGAACTATTTTTCAATTTTAACCTAAAAGAGATATTTCTCATAGATTTAAAACGAACTACAACATGGAATCAGTTCGTTTTTACGCGGGAGTGACTAGAACAATACATAAAAAGTGGATGTAGAATTAACACATGGCGTGAGACTGGCTATTAACACACATCCCGGGGATGGACAGCTGTACCCCACGCACCATCAGATCATCGCGCCCACAACACGCCAGGGATGAACACAGGGGAGGTGAAGGGATGGCGTGATGGAGATGACCACAGGGGGGTGAGATGAGTCACCGACACACACGAAGGGGATCCATACGCACGGTGATGACTCGGGGAAGCTCTGGAACTAGGGCGTAGGATGTACACCCCGCACCAGGCTTTGCCACACACACATTCTTATCGTTGTTTGGGCAGAGGTGATGCTGGGATGCAGCAACACCAGCGATCAGCCACACACATATTAATAGGTGAGAAGACTACAATGTATCTATTAAAATTCTATAATATGTATTTCGATATAAGATATTCGAGTGTCCTTATGTAATATATGGGGGTAGTTGTGTGTGTGTGTGTGGTGTGTGTGTGTATGTGTGTGTGTGTAGTGTGTAATCTTTTGTATATGTTTTAGACGTGTTTATTATATGTATCACATTATATCTCCGTATTATATATAAAATAGATCTATCTATATATTATATATGTATTCATAGTACATATTTTTTCCGAGACACTAACAACACTCGCATCACACCACCCAGTACACACACAACACACATCAACACTATTATCTATAGATCTTTAAGCTGTATAAGCTATATATATGAAGTGCGTATATAGTTATCATATAGGAATATATAGGGTTTTGATGTGAACATACACATTCTATGGGGTGAATTCAGTCGGTGATTATGTATTCTACTTGATATAGTATATATGGGTGATATATATTATAGGATGACAAGTACTAATGGTGGTTGTGTGTGTGTTGTGCTTTGTTGTGTGTTGAGTAGTGGTGGTGTGTGTGTTGTTGTGTGTGTGTGTTGTGTGTGTGTGGTGGTGTGTGTGTGTGTGTGTGTGTGTGTGTGTGATGTATTTGTTTTTGTCAATAGTATGATCATTTACTTTGGGATTGATTTTTTTTTTTTTTTTACTAACCAAAGATATGTAGATTTTTTTTTCTATTAAAAGGTGTGATTTTGAAGTGTGCTTTCAGAAGGGCTTAAGTTCCTGGGTACTATTGTTCCAGTTTAATCATTTTACGGAGTAGTAATAGCCACGTCACATATTCTGATACATGTCACATTTAATTTTCCAGGAAGAGAGTGTACATCTGCTGTCGCAATTAACAAGAGAAGCATAAGTACATGATAAGCAACTAAACCAACACGCCATAGTGGAAACTCGCTGTCGCTGAACATATCTATGATACACTGCGTGTGTTTAGGGAGTCGTTCTTGATGCTAGGAGTGAATAGCCTGTAATATTACACGGTGGTATTGTATGTAGTCAATCGGCATGAATTCTACTCTCAGTACTTTAATCCAGTCAGTTTTCCGAAGTAGTAGGACTTCCCTGTTTTTTTCTTTTTTTTTATGAAACAGAAATCTTTCTTTTTCCTATTTTGAGTTCTACTAAAACTATGATATTCTCTATTGATGACGGGATCAACTGAATTGCCCAGGTTCTCGTACTGTCTTTCTCCTTTCCATCTCTTTCTTTCTCCCTTTATCTCATCTTAATCCCTCACTTCCTTTAATCCCACTCGGCCCCTCTTTTCTTCTGCTTCTTTACTTGACCATTTTAATGCTTTCCCTGTGGTTAAAGGCCATCGTTTACAAACATAGAAGACAGACCGATTTTACTCTAAATGAAAAATATCACACTACTTCAACAGGAGTCATTACAGCGAATGTGTACGTTTGGCAGAGAGCGCTGTTTGTCGAGAGGGCAAAGAGTGGAATAGGCAATTATGTTCATGGCATGTTGGCTGGCGAGGGGAGTGAGTGCTCCGTGTTCCGCTTTTCCAAATACTGTTAAAGAGCTTGCATGATGAGGAATTCAGGCAAGGTGACATCGCACAAAACTCACAGTGACTTCTATATTGTTTAGGCCTTTTGAGGCACATGAAGCGGTAATGAACTTTAAAAGGAAGGGATAAGGCATACCAACAGGTCATTAACCGCTACAGTGTGTGTGTTTGGCTCTTGGTGTTTCACTAGTTCATTGGAAAGCTAATGTATCTCAATCTAGTTTTATGCCAATCTCCTATACTCAAAAAAAAAATAAATAAATAAATAAAAATAAGATAAATAATAAAATAAATAAATAAAAATAAATAAATTAAATAAATATATGAGTAATATAATAAGTTATAGTTTTATAATTAATATATATTATTATAAGATACCATCATTATCTATCTATGCTTATCCATCTATCATCTTCTTTAGCTAATCTCTCTATCTCTTATCTATATATCTACTCTTATCTATTTCTATCTATCTCGCTATCATATCTATCATCTATTTATCTTATTCTTACTCCTATCTATCTGTCTATCTATCTAATAGGGTGTCTATCTCATCTATCTTATATAACTATTATTATCTATTATATATCGTATATATATATATTAATTATATATTTATATTATATATGTATCATGTTGTTTTGGTTGTACATTTGTTGTATATCGTATTGTAATATATTATTAATTTATATATAATGGCTAATAATTTATATTATATATTATAGTTTAAGTTTTATATATATATCGTATGTATAGCTATATATATTGTATTATAGTATATATTATTCATTATAGTATTTAAGATTTTTATATCAGTATATATATACAGTCATATATATCAGCCCGTTATAATGTTTATTATATTATT